AAAACTTAAAACCGTGTAGACCAAACCCCCATACGTCCCCCCGCCGGAAAGGTATTAAAAAACCCATTTAGAGCAGGGGGGGAATTCTGGGAGTTGAAGTCCACCCGTCTTAAAGTTGCCAAGGTTGAGGAACCCTGCACTAAACTGCCACTATTAGATACTAATCAAGATACAACAAGGGGTGTTGCCACCATCTACCGTTGGGCTGCAGGGAAGACTTGATAACATCTAATTTCTCCAACTCATTTTATTTTATAATTCATACTTTACAACTTTCCTCTTAGTTATCATGAAATGAAATCTATCGTATCTGTATATTAAATGAGTTTTGAATAACTTCTGATCTTTGGTTGTTATAAAGATTTGATCTGATGACCCCTCTCAGACCAGGAACTTGGAATGATTAAGTGCTCCATGCCTCTTTTGTAAGTGTGTGGTGTGTATGTGTGTGTATGTATGACTATACACATAAAAAGCCAGTTTGGGGTAGTGGTTAAAGAGCCAGGCTAGAAACTGGGAGACTGTGAGTTCGAGTCCCACCTTGGTGACCTTGGGCCAGTCCCTCTCTCTCAGCCTAGGAAGGAGGCAAGGGCGAACCACTTTTGAAATCTTTCCAAGAAAACAGATTTGTCCAGGCAGTCACCAGGAGTCAACACTGACTCGAAAGCCCAATAAAAACCAACCCACAAACTTTTGTTCTGCAGGAACAAATGATGCACATGAGGAGCAGCATCAGCCTACGCATGCAATAAAGTCAGCCAAGACACTCACTCTGATAATACATACAACCATTCAAGGTTGTATCCAGCCAGCTTTTTCTGCAATAAGCCGAAAAACAATTTGGCTCTTCCCCCACCTGTCAGCTTCTTTTTTAGACCACTGAGCCTATTCTACATCCTGCCAAGCGTATGCATCCTGTTTCTCAAGGGGAGGGGGTCTTTTGGGCTACTACAATACTGTGGGCCCTCAGCATTAGACTTGCATTAGCATTTTGGGGACAGGAGGGAAAGAAGGGAAGACATGCACTCAAGGAGACTGATATGTATGTTAAGGTTACCATTGCAGACTGGCTAAGAGGCAGCTCTGCAGGGGAGGTGGTGGCGTTATACTGTAAGGGTCTGTGAGAACATCCTTGAGAGACAGGAGGAGGAGGAGGAGAAGCCACAGAGTAGGCAACGGTCAGATAAGAGACATCTCAGCCTGCAGAAGGAATGGGGACATGGTCTCAGAAGGGAACCTCCCTAGTTTCTTGGACTGTAAAGGCGAGGGGCCAGAGAGGCACTTTCTGACTTGCAAGATTCTGTTAACGCAACCTTACAGCAGTGCTTCTCAACCTTGGCCACTTTGAGCTGTGTGGACTTCAACTCCCAGAATTCCCCAGCCAGCAGGGACTGTAAAGGTGAGGGGCCAGAGAGGCACTTTTTGATTTGCAAGATTCTGTTAACGCAACCTTACAGCAGTGCTTCTCAACCTTGGCAACTTTGAGCTGTGTGGACTTCAACTCCCAGAATTCCCCAGCCAGCAGGGACTGTAAAGGTGAGGGGCCAGAGAGGCACTTTTTGATTTGCAAGATTCTG